AACATTCTGAGAATAAATTTGTAAAATTACGAGAATAAAGTCACACTGAGAATAAAGTCTGAATATTACAAAAAAAAAAGTCCTAAAATTATGAGAAACAAGTTCTATTTTATGACAAGTCCTATAAGAAGCACTGTCTTCCCTAAAATGAGGAATATCGAGCATCATGTGAAGTTATACTTTAGCTCTGGTTTGACAAATAAGGAAATCTTTTAGCACAGCAGCATCAAATTTGGCAGCAGGTCAAAGTGGACTCTGTGGTTGCTGTTTGGTGGAGCTGGTCAGCCGTCATATGCTGGTCGGAGCTTGAAGTTTTCTCTCTGAAACGGGTTGTTGTACAATGACTTCATTCTTGTAATATTACAACTTTATTCTCGTTATATTACAACTTTCTTCTCGAAACAGAAGAAAAAAATCTCTATCCTTGCCCTAATACTCTGTCATATCAGAGAGACCTTAAGCCAACAGTTTTGTTTTTAACAGGATAAACCGATACATCGGCCAGCTGACATTTTTGGGTTTTTGTATTGTATCAGTATTGGACATTATATGCATGCACCCCCCGGGTTTTCAAATTGTAATTGCAGGGGTACGCTGTAAAAATTATTTTAATAAATTACCCAGTTTAAAAGTTTTTATGTATTTATATTGATAGTAATGTTGGAGAAAAAACAGCTAAACCTGGAATTTACTGATTCTGACTTTTCTTCATTTTATTTAAATGTTGAAAAGATTGGAGCAGGGTAAGAGATGGAAGGGGAGCATAAACTTTCTTGTGAACAAAAGAGAAAGTTTGGGAACCACTGAAACAGCCATACCTTGAGATTACGTAAGGCACATGCATTGTGACTGCCTCTATTTACTATCCATTGTTAATGGGTAGTTTGATTTGTTTATAAATATTAGTTTTTATTGTTTAAATTGAGAATTGTGTAACCTTTCTTACTATTGTGCCATTTTCATCATGTGAATGGAGGGAAAAAAAGCATTATTGTCTCTAAGAATGAGGCCAAAAATATCAGCAGCACATATTTGGAATCGGATAGACTAATGTAAAAAAAAATCGGGATCAGCCTTAAAGGAAAAGTCCAGTCCAATCAGCAAGGAATATTTAAGTGATCATTATCTATACCTAAAACTAATATGTTTGTGGTGATTTAATAAATGTAGCTTTAATAAGTAAAAAAATAAAGGTAATAAATTTCGTTGTGATCACCGAGTCTGGGAACGGCCATTTTTGCCCAAATATATAATGACACCTCACTCCTGATATCTTTTAGCAGTAGCGTCACGGTGCGGTAAGCCTAGCGCCATTCTCCCCACTTTATAATAGGGCTGTATAATGGTTAAAGTGACAACGTCCACGTGCATGGCAGCTGGATGTAATACATTGGGTAAAAGTGAAAAAAAGTTATTTCAAGATCAACGAGTTCGTCGTTGGATTGCAACTTGAAGAGGGAGGATTTGCCATCAAACTTCTGGTCAGAGAAACACACATAATATGTAGCCAACATTTCGAAGTTGAATGTTTTCAGGATGACTTGGATAATAGCGCGTTGTGACAAACAGCAGATACAGCCTTGGGACTTGCTCAACAGCCGATACCTCACAGTGACATCACAAACCGGTAGGTGGCAGCATAGGCCTAACTTTCTGAAGGACTGGTGGGGACAGTCCCCGCCAATAATCTCTGCTTTCTTTCCACTTTCTACTTATTTACTTTAGCTAAAGGTAACAAAGGTTGGGTGCAGCTATATGTGCTCAGAGCGTTTTGTTTTCTCGTGTCCCGCCTCTCTGTGTAACATCATCGGATCGGACGCTTTGAGACATCTGATTTGCAGTCGCATTTCGCTGTGTACAAAGTAGCTACGTGGAGGAGGAGAGACACAGCAGCACTCAGTGAATATTAACCAGCAGCTACTTCCATGTTTAAGTAAAAGTTAAATACATTAGAGATCATGCCACAGAGAAATCTGTTTGTTAGACATACAGAGCTTTTTCAGCTAAAAATGGCAACAGATTGTAAATTTATATAAGTTAGTATTATAATGCAAGAAGCTTGAGAAAACATAGTTTGTTCTTCTTTACTAGTTAAAAAATCTTGGCTTCTCAGAGGACCATGATTCCCAGTTACAGGTTAAAATGAACACGTTTTCTTATTGAACAGACAGAAAGAGGCTGCAGAGCTTCTACATATCTTGAGATTTTGTTTCTGGCATCATTATATTAGTAAATAGGTTCATAAATCTTTTTAAACAGAGCACAGAGAGAAGTAGGGAGAGCTGCAGATTTAAAGGTGAAACAGATTTACTGGGATATTCAACATGCAATAAAATATATCTCCAAGTTTACCAGAAAGTTTACAAGAAAAAAAAATGCTATGCTATATTTAAAATGCAGCATATCCATATTTTTTCTGGATGGATGGAATTGAAATTGTACTTCTAGCAATGCATGATATATGGATTTTGGCATCGGAATCGGCAGTTATCCATTATTTTTTTATACATTAATGTTTTTGGGCCCTATATATATATATATATATATATATATATATAATGAACTAAAAGACATCTCTCTAACTATCTATGAATATAAATAGCAGTGTATTATAGTTATCTTGTGTTCTCAACAATAGGAAAGCATTCAATAAATATATGTTTGAGCTCATTTTTGGAAAATGAAAGCGTTGGGGTTGAGTAACTGTAGGTCCATCAGCCCCCACCCTTAAAGCGTCACCACCAACTTTCATCACAATGTTACACCCTTGGGTGGCGGTAGAGTTTTTGACAAACACGGATGCCTCCAGTAAAGGACATTAAAAAGAAAATGACTCTTAATTAAAAAACACTAATAATTTCTTCAACAGTATGTAATAATTTTATATTTAAAGTACTTTCAGAAGTTCGAATTCTGAATATGATCGAACTTTTCCTTTAAAAAACCTGTATGTGTAAATCTCTTAGTTTTTAGCCTAAAACACACGTTGGTCCATTTCTCTTTAAGCCAGTGGTATTAAACAAGCCAACAGTAACTTCTCCAAGTGCAGTTTGTATCGACAGCAGCCTGTTATGGAAGCATCTTGCCACTAATGGCCGTTCAATAAGTCGTCTTCTTACTGTAACAGTATAAAAATAATTCATCGCTCTGAAGCCGATCATTGGCTGAGTTTTTTAGTTTTCCTGTCAGGTCTTTCTGGTTTCAGCTTCCATCTAAAAGCATTGCAGACATATTTATGACAGCAACCTTTTATTTTCTCCAGTTAATTCAATACTCTCTTCTTTACTATCCACATTAAAAAGAAAATAAAACAAATACACTTTTTATCTGAACAATTTTACTCAACCAGTAAGTAAAACATTTCCCACCTACTTTCTGTTTGACTTATTTTCTTAAAAGGATCAACCTTTGCAGATCAACTCTGCACCATTTATGCATGCCAAAAAATAAATTGCCACATAGGCCTACAAGTAAACGTAAGTTATTGCTTCTCATAGTTTTCTGTTACTTAAGTACACCTGCTAGTATATTATCTTGATGATTATTGGGCCAAAGGCAGGCTACACCCTGGAAATTGACCTAGTCCGTCATATTTAACTACAATCACTTTAACCACAAAGATTAAATAATAGGTCATAACTATTAGATAGATGAGTCATAACTATGATTTATTAAAGTCAGATTTATTGCTGAATGATTGATAAGGGGATAGTGTCTCAGAGTTATATGGTTCCTAGAAGCAGCATTTATTACACTGCAAAAACTACTTAAGTGTATTTAGCCTGGATTTCAGTAGGTAAATAAGATGATTTGCCAATGGAATGAGTATTTTTACTCTTAAAATTAGACATAAGACATTTGACATAAGAAGATACATTTTTTTTTTAATGTAAATTGTCTTGTTCCACTGGCAAAGTGTCTCTTACCTCATCAAGTAAAAAAAAAGAACTTATTTGAAGAAAAACATACTTATTTACATTTCATTATTTTGCAGTGTACCTTAATTTCAGACAGGGTCGTAGCTGGATGGGGGGCCAGGGGTGGCCATGGCCATCCTTAGCCAATCAGTGGCCACCCCTACCATTGTTCCCCTGTAATACATATGGTGGCAGCAGTAATACTCTGAAGGGGAATGTTCAAACTTATTTAAAATTTACATTTTTCATATAATAAAAACTACTTGCCAACAGAAACACTGTGGTTAATTATGCACATCAATATACAAACATTAAAGAGTATAGATACAGAATTAATGCTATTTTCAGAACAAAATTTTGAATTATTTGGGGTAAAAATTAAAATTATGTGCCTCTGCAAGTCATCTAGAAGTCTTCAGTGAAATCATAGATAAATAGCTACTTTAATAATAACTTAAAAATTAATTAAATGTTGATATTAGTAGATTTAAATATCATTTTTTGCAGAATGATTATTTATGATTAATGACAATGGAAAATATGTTTGCCCCAGAACTCAAACCTGAAAGAATTTAGTCAACTATACATTTTATTTACACAGCATAGATGTTTAAATATATGTGTTTGTTAGCAAAGGTTGCAGGAAAGTATAGTTTTTTCTTTATTTAGACAATATGGATGTTGTGCTTGTTCCTTTTGGAACAGTGTAGATTGACCCCTGAGGTTCTGGTGCCTTTCGGTCGCCCCTATTAGGATTTTCTGGCTACGCCTCTGATTTCAGATATCAGTAATAGACAAGTTTGCTAAGTGGATTTGAATAAACTTTTTTTTTTTTTAAACAAAACACATGTTTGCGCTTGTTAACAAACGTAAAGCAATGTGTTTATAATGAGGACAGGCTGATAAGATTTATAGAGGGAAATGTGAACTAACATGCCTGGTTAGACTTTGACTCTTGAGTTATGCAATTCACAGAGAAATAAAACGTCCAAACAGTTCTATAAACATTGAGTGTGGGGCGTTAGAACACCACCTTTTTTTTTTTTTTTTTTTATATAGTTAAAAGGCTAAACTAATTCTTACCTTTATATTGCAGCATGTTGTCCTGGGTTTCCTCATTTTAGGGGAGTAATTTAGGTCCATTGTCTCCATTAGTGTGCGTCCCTTTGCTGCTGTCTCCGCTCTACCTCCAGCCGGTGAGCAGGGAGGCTTTTTAAAGGCTGCTGCTGCTGATGTCACTGGCCTCTCGCTGCTCTGTGTGCCAAAAACTGTTTCCAACTGAGCGATGAAGGAACTGAGCGTCTCGTGCACATGTCCTGATAGTCACGCGCGCTCACCTGTCACAGATGAGCGTGACGGGGTATTTATCAGGTAACTAGTTGCTCACCATTATCCACGCAACAACAGGATGAAGAAAACCGAGAAAACACCGGGAGCTTTTTAATCTAAACCCATGCTTAGTCATCCCCTCTGAGTGAACCCCCGCTTTGGTCCCCGGCAGCTAAAATGGGCTCAAATGCTTCATTAATTGCGGTATGCGGCTGTTTCATTCTGGAGCTAATGAGAACAAACTATTCTGAGACGTTCCGGCTAATAAATACTTATGAAGTGTCAGATTAGCAAGAAAACTCTTGTTTTAACACGAAGCAAATGTTTAAGTATGTGTTGGCTGTAAAGGACCGGATAAAAGCTCTAGATAATTTTGCTTTTCTTAAAGTTCAAACTTATTTTCTTCCCG